ATAACAATTAAGACAAAGCAATTAATCAAAAGCCCAGAAATTTCTTATTAAAATGGTTCTGGTTAATAACAGCAAAATACTATTGGTAAATAATAGTAAATTAATTAACAATACTGTTCGAACTGCAAGGCAACTGCTTCAATATTTTGCCTTTTTGTTATAAGTAACTCTATCGTGACTTGATTGCCACTATATATATATATATAGTATCATGTATATATATATATATATTAAGAAATGGACAAGGTCCGACAATTTATTTATTAAAGACATATTTTATGTTTAACGTTGTTATTTATAGATACAAGTATTTAAGCAAATGCTCTGTTTATAATAAACAGTACTAAATAACATTTACCGGCCTGAATGTCCGAGAAATTTTCATAGAAAATATTCGTCCTTTGACAGGATTCGAAGCTGCATCCTATACGGAACAGTCATTTACGCTGACGTGCCTTAACCGTCTCGGCCACAAAGAGCCTTTCGGTAGACAAGGTCGAATTTACTGCTTATATATATAATAATATATGACGTCATTTGTTTACATTTGATACGCCAGAGCAGTTATGAATGTACGAGATTCATGGAAGATTGAATTTTATAAGCATAAAATAAATAATAATATAAATAGCAACGTTAAACATAAAAATGTCTTTAATAAATATATATATATATATCATGTATAAAAATATATATATATATAGTATCATATACATATATATATAGTATCATGTATATATATATATATATATATAGTATCATGTATATATATATTATCATGTATATATATATATATAGTATCATGTATATATATATATATAGTATCATGTATATATATATATATATAGTACCATATATATATAGTATATATATATATATATATATATATATATATATATATATATATATATATATATATATATATATATATATATATATATATATATATATATATATATATATATATATATATATATAGCAAAAAGAATATCAACTAAAATATAACCCTGTAAAAGTGGGTTTTCTGTGTACGCTGCTGACGATAGATATAGTTTTCGCGACTAACACGTCAAAGAAATGCAACATATTATTATTTTCAACTTCCATCGTAAATTTTAAGGAAGGGTGATGGTTATTATAATGTTGGACACAATTATTCGCTGCGCTATGTGATGAAAAGAACGCTAAGTTATCATCAACACATCGGACGTGACAATATGGCTTACGAACCTTATCAAACAATTGTTTCTCATGGAAACCTGCAAAAATGTCGACCACATGAGGTCCCAGAGGACTACCCATTGACACTCCATCGATCTGCCGGCACATATTATTATTGAAGCTGAACGAGACAGACTCAGTCAGCTCCCCTGTTAAGATCTCGTTTTGAGAAACCATTTCTTCATTAATTTAGTTTCCGACGATTTATTACTTCTGATGAAGTGTCGGACGAAAGGCGCCTTAGGTTTATTTTATTTGATTTTAATTGTGATTCAATTAATAGTAATTGATATTAAACTATGATCACCATTATATTATATATATATATATATATATATATATATATATATATATATATATATAAAAGAGATTATAATAAAAAAAATGTCGAAATCGCTACAGAAAAGCTTTCATGTTTCAGTAGTTACCATCGCCTGAAAAAGAACAATCAAAATACTGAAACATGAAAGCTTTTCTGTAGCGGTTTCAACATGGTTTTGTTTTAATCTCTTATAATAAAAATAATAGTAATATGTTGCCCTACTTTCTACTATACACATTATTAAAATACGAATTTTCTATTTTGTTGCCCTTAGTAAAGTTTATATTTTTGATGTTTCTCCTAATCCCTGTTCTGCCATCCCTTTACATGAGCACTTTTTTATGTGTTGTGTCCCTGCAGGACGTTAGGGATCATGACTCTCCACAATTTCCTGTCTTTTGTAGCTCTTAGTAAAGTTTATCTTTTTGCTATTTCTCCTAAACTCTGTTGTGCTATTCATTTACGCGAGCACTTTTTTCTTCTTCTATGTGTTGTGTCGCTTCAGGACGTTAGCGATCATGACTCTCCTCGATTTCCTGCCCTTTGTAGCTCTTAGTAAAGTTTATCTTTTTGATATTTCTCCTAATGCCTGTTCTGCCATCCATTGACACGAGCACTTTTTTCTTCTTCTATGTGTTATGTCCCTTGAGGATGTTAGCGATCATGACTCTCCTCGATTTCCTGTCCTTTGTAGCTCTTAGTAAAGTATATCTTTTTGCTATTTCTCCTAATCCCTGTTGTGCTATTCATTTACACGAGTACTTTTTTCTTCTTCTATGTGTTGTGTCCCTTCATGACGTTAGCGATCATGACTCCCCACGATTTACTGTCCTTTGTTCTGTTCTGACATCCATTTCCACAAGGTCGTCAGGTGATTCACTGTTTTCCTCTTCCCTCTTGCCTTCAATCTGACTTGTGTTTGTCAAATTTTCCGAACCCTCTTTCCTCATTATGTAACCTAGGCATTACAACTGGCCCTTTCTGACCTTAAGTGTCCTTTTTTTTTTCTTTGGTTTTCCCTAAAACTTCGTTATTGGTCACATGTTCTGTAGACTGCATCTATCTGCAGAGACAGTTTTCAGTTGCTACGAGTCTTTTCTTCATCTATGAAGAAGTTGAACAGATGACGCAGAAGAATTATATAAACAAAATATAATAAAAGAAAACTGCGACCTGAAAAAAGGAAAACGATAAATAGCTCAGCAGGTGCAGACTATTGGATGACGTGGCATGATGTCTGCAGCAGGGAGATAATGCGTATCACGAACACTGAATGCCTGAAGACGAAATCACGAAAACAAATTCTTATTATTATTAATTTTATAAAAATTATTATTATTATTAATCTAATTATCATACAGATTATTATTATTATTATTAATCTAATTATTATAAAATTATTATTATTATTAATCTAATCTTTATAGAAATTATTATTATTATTAATGTAATTGTAATAAAAATTATTATTAATCTAATTATTAATATTATTATTAATCTAATTATTATACAAATTATTATTATTAATCTAATTATTATAAATTATTATTATTATTATTAATCTAATTATTATGAATTATTATTATTAATAATCTAATTTTTATACAAATTATTATTAATCTAATTATTATAAAATTATGATAATTAATCTAATCTTTATAGAAATTATTATTATTATTAATGTAATTGTAATAAAAATTATTATTAATCTAATTATTAGGATTATTATTAATCTAATTATTATACAAATTATTATTATTAATCTAATTATTATAAATTATTATTATTATTAATCTAATTATTATGAATTATTATTATTAATAATCTAATTTTTATACAAATTATTATTAATCTAATTATTATAAAATTATGATAATTAATCTAATGTTTATAGAGATTATTATTATTATTAATGTAATTATTATACAAATTATTATTATTAATCTAATTATAATACAAATTATTATTATTATTATTATTAATTAAATTATTATAAAATTATTATTATTAATAATCTAATTTTTATACATATTATTATTATTAATAATCTAATTATTATAAATATAATAATTATTAATATTAATGTAATTATTATAAAAACCATTATCATCAATCAGAGCGTTTATTTTTTGTTTTCTTAATTATTTTTTTTCACTCCTGCAGCTGAGGGTTTGTAGCAACTATAATGATTTCTCCTCCTTGTCTTTATTTCAGAGATGCCCAGGTATTAAGCTCACAATGTGGTACATGGCCCCGTGAATAAAAGCGCTGATTAAATTATTCTAGTGACTTGACCCAAAGAGTTGTGTGTTCAATACCTGGCCACAGTAGAGGCAAATAAAAACATGGCGTGTTGAGTTACTAAAGGGAGATAACTGAAACTGAATGATTAATAAGTCTGTCTCGCTAGATCAATTAGTAAGTTCGGTCGTCATTGGGTGCTCTGTACTAATGGCCTTGTGTCAGATCTAAATTAAGCTATTATATTCGCTAATCAGACCAAGATCACCTATTACCATTTCCTTTTGTAGTTTTTAGGAACATCTTTGACTTCTTCGGAATTTTTTCCGTATTTCGTTCGTTCGTGGAGTCGTATCGAACCCTTGGACCTGGGGCATACAGTCAGGGGATAGTTGCTAGTCCTTCTTAATATATGCGCAATGGAAAGGTGAACGACCTTCAAGACTTTTTTATCGTTATCTAACTTGGAATATTTTGCTCTTATTGCATATTTCCCAAGCCGTTCTTAAGCAGATTGAGAGCATCTATTGAGAGCATCAAGTGTTTTCGTCGTCGCCATAGTCCACGCGTTACTCAGTTTTTATTTCTCGATCTTTAAATTTTGTCAAAGTGTTCAGGGAATATATTCTTCTTCTTCTTCTTCTTTTTCTTCTTCTTCTTCTTCTTCTTCTTCTTCGTCTTCCACCTCTTCTCCTTCTTCTTCTTCTTCCTCCTCCTCCTCCTCCTCCTCCTCCTCCTCCTCTTCTTCTTCTTCTTCTTCTTCTTCTTCTTCTAGGACTAGTTTCTTCTTTTTCTTTATTTGTCTTTAACTGATGTTATTTCTTCGTCTCCTTCTCCTACTATTCTTCTCCCCGTCCTTATTTTGTTTTCGCGGGCCTCTTCTTCTTCTTCTTCTTCTTCTTCTTCCTCCTCTTCTTCTTCCTCCTCCTCCCTCCCTTATATTATCTTCCTCTTCTTCTCCCTCCCTTAGTTCTTCTTCTTCTCCCTCCCTCCCTTATATTATCTTCCTCATTTTCTCCCTCCCTTAGTTCTTCTTCTTCTCCCTCTCTTATATTATCTTCCTCTTTTTCTCCCTCCCTTAGTTCTTCTTCTTCTCCCTCCCTCCCTTATATTATCTTCCTCTTCTTCTCCCTCCCTTAGTTCTTCTTCTTCTTCTTCTTCTTCTTCTTCTTCTTCTAGGACTAGTTTTTACTATTTCTTTATTTGTCTTTAACTGATGTTATTTCTTCGTTTCCTTCTCCTACTATTCTTCTCCCCGTCCTTATTTTGTTTTCGGGGCTTCTTCTTCTTCTTCTTCTTCTTCTTCTTCTTCTTCTTCTTCTTCTTCTTCTTCTTCCTCCTCCTCTTCCTCCTCCTTGTTTTTTTTTTTTTTACTTGTCTCCCCCATATTGTTTCAGTGTCTATTTCAAAATCTTCATATTTATATTTGGAGTGGTTTTATGCAGTTTTCTATTACAGTTGTTGAATCATGTTCATAGTGTCTGCTCTTTGACTTTGATATTATTATTATTATTATTATTATTATAATATGTGTACACAATATTTCCTGCTTTGTATCCTGTAGAGCCGGTTCCAAACTATGGCCCTTAGGCCCTATAAGAGAATAGTGGAAAATGTGTGACAAAGATGTCCCAAAGAATTGTAAAATTTTCTTTTCCGGCTGGTAGATTTTACAACGTGGGTCGGGGTCGAGGTCGGGTTGGACATTGTAACGATTATCGGCGCTGAAAGTGCATCCACTTCTTCATGGGTTAAATATCTATGGGTTAAATTGCAAGGCAAGAGGGGGTCTCATGCCTTGGATTACAGTCTAAGAAAAGGTAAACTATGAATTCGAAATTTAGGAGATCTCTTTGAAGGTTTAAAATCACATTGTGCCATTTTTATTATAAGTTTTTTTTTCGAAAAGTGTTGCAGTTCCTTCCTCCCCTAAAATCAAATCAGGCTTGTCGGTAGTCTAGCTGTCCAATTTTAAACTGCATTTTTGGGTCCTCATATGTTGAAATCGAGGCTAAAATTCAGAACAACTGGGGTAAATATTTTGTTTTAGAATAAAATAAAAATATTTTTCCAGATACAAGTTCTACTATTTCACCCATAACTGCAGGGGGGAAGATTGAAATTTATAAAGTCTTTTAAAACCTTCTAAAGCAGTTTTTTTCTTCAGAAAAATACCCATGTCATATCCACTATTTGTTATAGCTCTTTCTAGTATGTTAGTTATTAAAACTGAAAATGGATTCAGCGAGCCGAGTTCAATCCTGTTTCATTCAATTTGCGCTAATGCCACTTACAAAAGGCAGTAATCCGTCTTCCTATTTCTATGGGTTAAATAGAAATGCCTTGGGCTATAGTCTTAGAAAAAGGTAAACTCTGAATTCTAAATTAAGAAGATCTCTTTGGAGGTTTAATATCACATTGTGCCGTTTTGTTATCAGTTCTTTCGAAAGGTGTGGCTGCTTCCTACTCCACTAAAATCAAATCATGTGCGTCGGTAGTCTAGCTGTCCAATTTTAAACTGAATTCTTGGGCTCTCATACGTTGGTATCGACACTAGAGAACACAACTCAGAGAACCTGTTTATTTTGTTTTAGAATTAAAAATATTTCCCAGATACAAGTTCTACTATTTCACCCACAGCTGCAAAGGAAAGATTGAAATTTATAAAATCTTTTAAAACATTTTTTTCAGGAAAATAGACATCTAATGACCACTAACTGTTATCGCTCTTTCTAGTATGTTAGTTATTTAGTATAGTGAACTGTATCATCATTTTCAAGTGGATTCGGGGAACCAAGTTCAATTCGCTCTCGATTCTGTTTCGTTTAATTCACTCTAATGCCCCTTCCAAAAGGCATTAACCCCTTTTCGGGAATCTATGGGTTAAATAGTAGGCCAGAGAAAGTGGTGCTGTTTTCTACAATAATATTTAGTGTCTTCTCTTCTTATAACGAAGTGGGTTGAGCCGGCTCCAATATTGGAGTTTCATGGGAATTTGGAATTCACAAGTGGTCCCCAACCCGCATGTATAGCACATGAGATTTGATTATAGTGGTGAAGGTTTCGTGCAGGACCATCCACACTTTTTGAAGGGCCGATTACAGAGACCTGGTGCACTACATGCCACAAGGTCCCCAAACGACCCTCCGCAGGTTTTGAATTCAGAGTTTTTAATTCTACTAGATCAGTTGCCATCCAAGGCTATAGAACCCAGTCTGTCCTGCTATTTTACCTATAGCTGGAAGGAGAAGAAGGGGATTCATACCTTTTCCAAGTAAAGTGAATGTAATGGATTCGACTGGAATTCGAACTCGGCTCTCCGATTCCTCAATCCAAGCCGATATTCATTACTCCACCGTGCCTCCTAATATGTAGTGTGTAGCCTAGCGGTTCGAATGCAAAAAGAATTGTCGATGCGTTGAACTCGACACTAGAATTCACAAACAAAAGCGAGGGAACCTGTTGATTTTTACACTTGCTCTGTATAGTGAAGAGAATCAGCATTTGGAAGCAAGACATTGCTATTCTGTTAGTGAAACAATGCCAAACATTTGGCACATGTGGGGGTAACAGGGCTGTCAGGAAGAGAAATCCCAAAAGCAATCGGTCAGAAGATGCGTGTCTTTTCTTTGCTCCATTGAGACAAGAATTATACTTTGGGGCAAAGCGCTTCTCTAAAATCTGAATATGAGAAGTTACGCTTTCAAAAACGTCAAGAGAACGTCGTGAGGGACAGGCCATGGGGACAGAGGTAATTGAGACGTGAAGACGGTTGAAGAAAATTAAAAAAAATAAGCGATACGACGGGAAAACGGTTACAGGGTCGATACGGAAAAAAGTTGAGGCTTTTCTCGTTATATCGTGTTTATTTACCTTTGTCTTCAGGAAGCAAGAATGAATGCAGGCAAATTAGAGAGCATGGCAATGATGCAAAAAAAATCTTACGAAGATATGTGGACTGGTAGATAAACGATTTGATTCGTTGAAAATATTTCATTTGAAAGATAAACGATTTATAGATAAAGAAACTGATTGGTAAAAATACGTTGTTTGGTAGATTAACGATTTGATTGGTTGAAAATATTTCGTTTGGAAGATAAATGATGTGTAGATAAACGAAGTGACTAGCAGAAAATATGTCCTTTGGTAGATAAACAAACTTATTGGCAGAAAATATGTCCAATCGTAGATAAACAAAATGATTGGTAGAATATATGTCGTTTGGTAGATAAAAGATTTGATTGGTTGAAAATATTTCCTTTAGAAGATAAACGATTTGTAGATAAACGAAGTGATTGGCAGAAGATGGGTCCTTTGGTAGATAGACAAACTGATTGGTATAAAATATGTCGTTTGGTAGATCAGCGATTTGATTGGCAGAAATATTTCGTTTGGTAGATAAACGATTTGATTGGTGGAAAATATTTCATTTGGAATATAAACGTTTGTAAAAAAACGAAGTGATGTGCAGAAAATATGTCCTTTGGTAGATAAACAAACTGATTGGTAGAAAATATATCGTTTGGTAGATGAACATTTTGATTGGTGTTTGGAAGATAAAAAATGTGTGGATAAACAAACTGATTTAATTGGTGGAAAATGTTTCGGTTGGAAGATAAACTTTGTAAATAAACGAACTGATTGGTAGAAAATATGTCGTTTGTAATGTTGAACGTAACCATATTCGGAGTTCATTGATCGAATAGGTATCATCACTGTCGGTTGACATTTATAAAATCTTTCCCATAAAAAAGGTTTTCAGAAAAATAAGCTGCTTCAATCAACTGTTATCGATCTCTCTAGTATTAATGGGGGTTTCCTTATTAACCTTTTCTTTAAAATCTTTCTGTAAACATCTTCATGATATCAAGATTTTCCTTTCTATTGAGATATATATATATATATATATATATATATATATATATATATATATATATATATGTATGTATATTTACGCCCTTTTATGTCACTCCCTCAAACACACAGACACGCACGTACACACACACACACACACACACACACACACACACACATATATATATATATATACACACATACATACATATATATATATATATATATATATATATATATATATATATATACGTACGTCCTGGGTATAACGATAAACTATATCCGGCAGTAAGACGTCTGATGGGGAGGTTTTGAGTAGCATCGAATCACTTCTTAATTGCTGTTGTTACCAGGTACACTTTGATTCCGTGTGGTAGCACCTCTTAGGGTCCCAGCTATGGGCAAATATCAACCGTAAAACAAAAACTTTGAAAGTATAAAAATACATTATTATGTAAAAATAAGAGCAATACATTTTATATTTTTTTAAATTACCAATAATATATTGTATAGTAAAATGACCAACAATGCATTTTCTCTGTAGTTGAAGGTATACAACTAAAGATAACGCTAAAGATATATTTAGTTGACGCCATGAAATTGTGTTCAAAATATTTAGATTTCGACAGGAAATAACCCATAGATCTTGATATGCCACGAATCGAAATCGACCAAACAACTCTTCCATGAAATTAATCCATGTAATATCCTAAAATGTCTTAAAGATATCAAACTGTATTCCAATATATAGCCTAAAAAGGTGTATGGCATAAAACACACATATCACCGCCTCTCGTAATTATGGCCACACATACATGAGTATGCACAAAGGAAATTAAATTTCGACATTAAAAGACTCATAAGGTATTGATGTGCAGTTAAACAAACCCAGCTAAACTATTTTAGTTGTTGCTGCTTTTGGAAGTCTTCAAGTTATTTCGTAAAATTCTTTGTTTTGGATTCTGTAGCACAAGTCTATAATATATATTGAAGAATTTACTACCATTAAAACGTAGAAGATTCCTCTTCTTGAAGCCATTTTAAACATTAATCTCAGAAAATGGCTGCAGAAAGGTTATAGTTTATACATTTCCGGCACAGATTGAACGCAATGCCTTTCATTCAAATGAGATAGATTCTCGGTTCAGACTAGGTTAATATATATATATATATATATATATATAATTGTCATCCACGGAAAGACTGTTTAGCTGTATCACAGCTCATCATTGTGGTTAGACGTCCGGTTGCCTCTAGCTAGGATCGAAAGCCGACTGAATTGGCGTCAGTCGGAAATTCTACCACTAAGCCGTCGGGGTTGAATTTAAGCGTATTTATTTTTAGATAAACACACAGTGACTGAGAGGATTCGATTCGCTTTACTACATTGAAAGCCATTTTAATCACTGATCTCGGAAAATTTTTGTAGAATGATTATAGCTTACACATTTCCGACGCAGGTTGGACGCCATTTTTTACAGTAAGGTCCACTCTGTACAAGACCCAGGGTCCATTTGGGATAGAGAGTCATGTTAAGGGGCATTTTATATGGATAAGAAGGGAAGATAACGGTTAACTCTAGACTAGAACAAGTTAAGATTTTTAATAATCGGGGAAAAATCCTCTTTGGAGTCGGTACCACTGAGCAGTGATTCGCTGTAAGAAGCTGTTCCAGTAGAACTTAGTTCTCAGCGATAGAATAAGAAGGGAATGTGGGGGTTTGCTACTGTGTAAGTGTCATGACGGGTCCTAGCCGTGAAGGTTGGATCTGGCGGTATCAAGCAATGTAGTTCGTCAGAGCACTTTTAGCTTTTGGAAGAAGCGATAGAGAAGTGAGAGACTAGTCTCATACCCACTGTGAAAGGGAGAGAGAGGCTGGAGAATGGAAAATAATTCTTATTCCACAAGAACTCGGAAACACGGTGGAACTTTATCGAAACTGACCATGGAGGCCATTTATATGAGAATCTAAATCAAACAAGGACATTTAAGAACATGATCTGTTATAACATAGCCGTATGGTTCGCTTTCAGACTGATGCCAGTGTTCGAATCACACCTTTGTCGATTTGCCAGGAGGTTGATTTCTTGATGCTATCTGTCTGCGGTGGTTCCTAGCGTGCGGTAAGTGCCTCAAAAAAACACGAGCCTTCTGAGTGAAATTAGGTAGACGGAATTATTTTCGAGCCGTCGGTGGTTGTGTTTGGCACGAAGTCACAAGTCATCGTGACCGAGAGTTTGAGAGTGCTGGCCTTGTTCAGAATGTTGATCAAGCTAGATAAAGCGCTCTTTCTCTCTCAGAAACTCTAACTAATGCCCACTCGGCGTAGTTACAGTATAATCTACAGGTGGTCTCTGTGGGTGTTGAACAAACAGAAAAGTGCCTGAGCAGGGGTCTGCAGTAGGGATTGGTTAACCGTCCAAACCGACGGGAATCATTGGATATGTGTGGACAGCTATTATATTTTCTATTCGTTTTGTAGGATCTTGCATTGTTGGACAAAATTATCCCTCGCGTAACCTATTCCTTGTTCAGTTATTTATTTCCTACAGTAAATTTGTTAAACCTGATTCACACATACGAGATATTTAAAGTGTTTAGTGTTTATTAATTGCACATTATAAACATTTAAGCTAAATGCATGTTAGATAATTCGTCATTTGCTAGATAAACAAATTGATTGGCGGCAAATATGTCGTATGGTAGATAGATATATCGATTGATGAAAAAATCTGTCCTCCTATCGAAAAACAAACTGAGGGACGGAAAATGTTTCGTTTGGTCGAATAACGAATTATTTTAAGGAAAATATATTGTTTGGTATATAAACGAATTGACTGATGAATGATTATCGTTTGGTATATAAACAAAATGATTGGTGGAGAATCTGTCGGTCGGTTGACAAACGAATTGATTGGTGGAAAATGTGCCGTTTGGTCCATAAACAAAATTTTTGTTCAAAATATATCGGTTGGTAAATAATAGAATTGGATGCTGAAAAATTGAATGTTTTCTATCTATCTCTCTGGCTAGCTATCTTGTCCTATCATTTCATCCATCTATCTATCTATCATCTATATGGACGACATGTTAAAACAGCGTTAACACATTTTTGTTCATATCATCCATCGGTCACAGTCTGTTTTATCTATCAATCTATCTATCTATCTATCTATCTATCTATCTATCTATCTATGTGGGCTTATGGACATATGTTAAAACAGCGTTAACACATCTATTTGTTCATATCTATCCATCGGTCACAGTCTGTTTTATCTATCTATCTATCTATCTATCTATCTATCTATCTATCTATCTATCTATCTTTGTCCATATCTATCTATCTATCTATCTATCTATCTATCTATCTATCTATCTATCTATGTGGGCTTATGGATATGTTAAAACAGCGTTAAAACAGCTATTTGTTCATATCATCCATTCATCTGTTTTATCATCTATCTATCTATTTTATCTATCTATTCATTCATCTATCTATCTATCTATCTATCTATCTATCCATCATCTATCTATCTATCTATCTATGGGCTTTTGGTCAGCATATCATTCATCGGTCACAGTCTGTTTTATCTATCTATCTATCTATCTATCTATCTATCTATCTATATCTATCTATTCATCTATCTATCTTTGTTCATATTCATCTATCTATCTATCTATCTATCTATCCATCTATCTATTCATTATCCATATCTATCTATCTATCTATTATCTATCTATCTATCTATCTATCTATCTATCTATCTATCTATCTATCTATCTATCTTTGTTCATATCATATCTATCTATCTATCTATCTATCTATCTATCTATTCATATCCATATATACATCTTATTCGGTCTTGCTTAGTATGACCTCAAAGTTTGTTTTTCTGATGCCTCTCCTAATATCTCGTTCCTTTCATTCTCTCAATCTATTTTTTCTCTCCCTAGTCTTTCTCTCGTGCCTTTTCTGTCTCTTTCTCTTTTGACATCACTATTTCTCTCTTTCTCCTTCTCACTCTTTCCTACCATTTTATTATGTTATCTCCCCCCCTTGTTCTCGCCCATTTCTCTCGCTAGCCTCTCCATTTTTCACTCACTCTCTCTCTATAATAGTCTCATTTGTCACCCTTTCATTTTCTCGCTCAGCTTTTCTTTATTTCTTTCTTTCTTGTTTTGTTTTCTTTCTTTCTTTCTTTTCTTCATCTCCTTCTTTCTTTCATTTCTAATTCTCCTCCTTTCTTTCTTTCTTTCTTTCTTTCTTTCTTTCTTTCTTCCCATTTTGTTCCATTTTCATTTTCTGGCGTTCTCCAGAAATCAAATCTGCCAATCTGCCGAAGAGAAGTTTGCTGCGTGAATCTCGTTGAATCTCGTTGATATGAATCAAATCATCGTTTGCGTTTGACTGCTGCCGTCCATATCGTGAAAGTTCCTTAATGGCAATCATGTTTTCAAAGTCCGAGAAAGAAAAGCTAGCCAGTAAATGAAGTAAAATGCGGTCTCTTCTGTGTGTTTCGGGCTCAAATATTTGGCTACAGGTCGGACCCCGCTTATTTCATCAAACAATCGCCACGGAAAAAGGGACATTTGTACATTCGGGTTTAATGTGTCCATTTAAATCTACAGATCTCATCGCATTTCTGCCTTTCTCAACCTTTCTCTCTATGTCTTACACTGTATAGCTGGTTAAAACAGTGTGGATGATGGTTTCTAGTTGGTGCTTATTGTGGCCTGAAATAGACTTAACACGGAATATACAAAGACTTTGCGAGTCAGCCTCTCAATGCAGCCAGATCTATCTATCTATCTATCTATCTATCTATCTATCTATCTATCTATCTATCTATCTATCTATCTATCTATGTATTAAAATTCATTAAAATCTATCTATCTATCTATCTATCTATCTATCTATCTATCTATCGCAGTCTGTTAAAATCTATCTATCTATCTATCTATCTATCTATCTATCTATCTATCTATCTATCTATCTATCTAAGTCTGTGAAAATCTATCTATCTATCTATCTATCTATCTATCTATCTATCTATCTATCTATCTATCTAAGTCTGTGAAAATTTATCTATCTATCTATCTATCGCAGTCTGTTAAAATCTATCTATCTATCTATCTGTCGCAGTCTGTTAAAATCTATCTATCTATCTATCTATCTATCTATCTATCTATCTATCTATCTATCTATCTATCCCAGTCTATTAAAATCTATCTATCTATCCCAGTCTGTGAAAATCTATCTATCTATCTATCTATCTATGTGACAGATAATTCTCTCCGGTTATCGGCGTGGAAAATCGAAATGGCCAGTTTCATATTCCAGCTGAGACCATTGTGTTCACTTCCTACTAAACCTTCTTCTCCTTTAGGCAGATTATGGTAATGGTGATGTTAGCCGTTTCCTTATAAGGAAACATTCGGTATTTTTGTGTTTTTATTTTCTCTTCGCGTTACCTCTGATATCAATTTTAGGTGTTGCTTTTGCTGAAAGTCTTCAAGTGATGTGGTTTCTCTTATTTGATACAGTTCTTTGTTTGTGATTCTGTAGCGCCAGCCGACGAGTTTCGAAGGAGGATTGTCCATGCTAAGACCTACTAGCTGCATTCACTCGAAGACAGTTATTACCATTGGATTAAAAGCGGGTGTATATAGCGAACAGTTTAGATATTTCTAAACAAATTTGGCGCCAATCTATAGGAACAAAATGATATTTGGTTGCTTTAGAACATGATACGAATTCTTGGCTTAATATTTTGATTTGGGGAAATCTTGAAGTGCTGTTAAAGTTTAAGGGAATAAAAAATGAATTCAACACAATTTTGGCGTAATGACCTCGACGACAAAAATGGCGCTTTTTCGACTGTCGACATTATACAATTCATTATGGATCATTCTACATCATTATGATTCTACGAGTTCATGGCACTTTCTGTTCATTTAATCATTTTCTATAATTCACCTCTAGGATATTGGAACTTCCACCAGAAATGTCAATGTTCATATATAACTGTTTTTTTTTTAAATGATACTTCTTTAAAATGCCACCTTCCATCTGGATACACTCATTCATAGCTCACAAAATCTTCGTTTTTCTTTATGATCTGAGAAATGCCATGTACTACAGAGAAAGATGGAAGAATTTTTTTTTCCATTTTCCTTCTAGACGGTCTCGTCTTCAGAGTTCGTCCTTCTACAGTTCGAATGAAAAACAAGAGGTTAGATACAAAGATTTAATATGGCTGCAAATCGACTTAATGACGAATACAATGTCATCATACCCCCAACAAATATTTTCCGTCAATGAAAAAACAAAGAGGCTCACAGTATAACGGTTATTGGCGAAATATTTTTCATCTTCTTAGCTCGCTTTGTTCTTCACCTTCTCATCTTCTAACAGATCCATGCCATGATATGGCAGTTCTCTCAAGTCCAGTAGACGTTATTACCTTTTCTATTATTGACGGGATTTTACTTCCTAACTTTTTGTTCGGGGTAGTGTGAGTAGTCAATATCTAGTTTTTTTCCCCTTTGTTTTTTCCTGTTTACGTCTATTAGACCTTATATACTAGCTTATAGGATGGACACCTCGGCGTGGTGAAATGATTAGCTAGCTTGTCTCGCTAGATCAGTTACAACTGAAAAGTGAGTTCGATCCTCACTAGATGCCCTTGCCTTGTGCCACATCTAATCTACGCTTGGAAAATAACTACTAGCTTATAGGTGTTGCTGATCAGTGTATAAAAATCTCAAAGCATAGGATATTTTTTTCTTTTTTTCTTTAAGAATCTTTTATATTTATTGAAATGAAGTCTATGAAAACAAGTTATCTATCAATACCTTTCCCATTGTTGGAAATGTTACTGAATAGAATAATCCCACGAAGGTTGGTAATAAACGTTAATACTTAGGACAAGAACAACACATATAAGATTCGCTAGCGGCGCTTAGAAGTAGTAGTCAACTGCTAGAAGTGAGTCAAGTGATTCCAAGATGAATGTCCAACTGCAGTATATCTACCAACCCCCTCCACGCGGTCAGATGTGGCATGAGGCCGATTTTAATGTGGGGTATCCGAGCCCGTAGGCTCGGTCAAAAATTCCCAATAGACTCCGTATAAAACGGGTTCGGGTAGCTGTTTCCCGAGAGGAGACTCTGCCCTTCAACATAGCCTCGTCTGGAGGCAGAGAGTTTGACCAGCAGAGCTGGAGACGAATCGCCAACTACAGACCAACATACAGTATTTACTACTTTATTTATGTGAATAGGGGGCATACCCATTGTCGTCCGTAGGTATGCTACAACACCCATGTTGAGGTCATCGGTGACTAAATTGCTTCCGCTACCAGGTCTTTCTGTTGGTGAAGGTGACTAGACATTTGTTGCCAAGATACACGGAATATCTATCTATCTATCTATCTATCTATCTATCTATATATATATATATATATATATATATATATATATATATATATATATGTGTGTGTGTGTGTGTGTGTGTGTATATATATCTGTTGTGTCGTGGCACAATAGTAAAAATAAGAAAACCAAGTCGAAGTTGGTTTGAAGAACAAGTGTATTTAACATCACAGATACAAAGATAGGAAACGGGTACTACTCAGCTAGGCAGTTGTAGTACTGTCGCTGCTTACCCCGGGTAGGTATTACTGGCACTATATATAGTGAGAACAGGTGTAATTCCCTTGTGTTAGAGGCCGGTGCAACAATATCTTAAGCAATATACATGATATCTTCATGCCGAAGCAAGTTTCATGTGCAGGAAATATGGTGTTTATTTTTATTTCTATTTAAAAAAAAAAAATTATGTATCGCACGGGATATATTTTTGTTGGGGTTGAATATTATTGGAGCTAAAAAAATTAAAAGGATTGTACTTTAATTTTGAATTTGAATTTAAGCTCTGATTAACATTTAAGAATGAAAATAATGTTGGAAATAAAAAATACAAATTCGAAATTTGGGAGACGCTGGTTTTGAAAACAAAGAAGAGGCGTTAGCAAATCATGGAGGGAAGCACACTAAATTTTTTTTCAAAAATTAAGAGACTTGCCGATATTTATAATACTAACTTAACTAGACTAATGATCTCAGTAACAAAGTATGCTATGATAAAATAAAATAAAATTAGGCCATATATATATATATATATATATATATATATATATATATATATAGTTAGGTAAATGAAATAACTAGATAATAGAGGCCATATACGCGCATGCTGGCGTGTATACGTTGGTAAGCAAATTAATGATAACCAAATTTAGCCAATCGGTTGTAGACATAATAGTGCTAAATTATCATTAGACAAAGCTAAGACATATATGTTAATAAATACACATATAAATACGACTCGAGTTTCGTTGTTTACCCAACTCATCGGACACAAGTTGGGTGAAAAACGAAACTTTAGTCGCACACCAAACGTAGGTATATGTGTATTTATTAATATTATTTACATTATTCGGACTATTGTACTCATCATTGTCGCGCTATTTTTAAAAAAGTTTCGGTCGTTGTACGCTCCAGCCTTCTTCTGAAGAAGGCCGGAGCGTACAACGGCCGAAACGTTGTAAACAATTGATGAGGACAATAGTCCGAATAATGTAAATAATGTACTATAATAATAATATAATCTATATATATATATATATATATATATATATATATATATATATATATATATATATATACTACGTTTGATGTGCGACTCGAGTTTCGTTATCTAATTCTAGCAATATCTCGTGCCTGATGAATTGGGTAACCAACGAAACTCGAGTCGCACATCAAACGTAGGTATATGTATATTTATTAACATATATATAAAGACATTTTTATGTTTATATATTCTTTTATAGATACAAATATTTAAGTAAATGCTCTGTTTATAATAAATAGTATTAAACAACATTTACCGGCCTGAATGTCCGAGAAAGTTTCACAGAAAATATTCGTCCTCAGACAAGATTCGAAGCTGTATCCTATACGGAACCGTCATTTAGCTTGACGTGCCTTTAACCGATTTGGCCACAGAGGCGCGTTTATAAACATAAAATATCTTAAAATAATTGTCGGACTTTGTCTAGTTTATAATATATATATATATATATATATATATATATATATATATATATATATATGCGCAGTACTTTGAGGAGTTAACATATTCAGTTGTATACATTGTGACCCTGGATTTCAGGCAAACTCTGATGATCGCAAAAGCGTGAAACCCAACGTCAGAAACTCATATTCATACAACTGAATATATAAGAATGCAGAGGAGAAAAATGTACATACATGCAGAAATACTAGCACGTACGTAAGTATATTTCTTCCTGAGGTGTTATAAATACAATGCTCAATGTCATGAAACAGAATTATAAATATGATATACATATAAGTGAATATATACATAATATCCAACGTCGATAACACTACTCGGAATTTCATGCAATTTCTGGTGTTATATCTCGCGTTCTCGTGATGATGTTTCAAAATTATGTGTATAAATTTAAAATATAGAATTAAATATTAATAATTTATATCGGAGAGTTAATTATACTAAAAAAAAAAGAGTTACCCCCCTTGCTATAATGTTCACTTTCGAATCCAAATTCCAATTTAAACAATTTTTTTTTAATTTTTTTGTTTATTAGTTATTATTCCTTAATTCGTCGTCTTTCGAAATTATGAATTTGGATATAAATTATTAATCGTTAATTCTATATTTTAAACTGACAAGTTTGTACACACAATATTGAATCATAATCACAAGAACGCGACGGCCAGAATCTCCACATATGAAGATTGTATTAAATTTATGAAACTCCGAATAGTCTTATTGACGTTGGATATTATGTATATAACTAATATATATATATATATATATATATATATATATATATATATATATATATATATATATATATATATATATATATATATATATATATATATATATATATATATATATATATATATATATATTAGTTAATATACATATATCCAACGTCAATAAGACAAGTTTTATATATATATATATATATATATATATATATATATATATATATATATATATATATATATATATATATATATATATATATATATATATATATATATATATATATATATATATATATATATATATATATATATATATAGAGAGAGAGAGGGGAGGGAGAGAGAGGCAGAGACAGAGAGAGGGGGAGATATATTTTGTTTTTAATTTATTTTGTCTATTTTGGGAATTGGATTAAATCAGACCTATTTTTATTTTGAATATATGTACATATATATAGAGAGAGAGAGAAAGAGAGAGAGAGACGTGTGTAAGTGTTTATGTGTGTGTGTGTATGTATGTGCCTATGTATGTATGTGTATGTATATATATGTATATATATATATATATATATATATATATATATATATATATATGTGTGCCTATAATCATGCCTGTCTTTATATTTTTTTACTTGTCTCTTCGATGATGTTTGCTTTTAATAAATGCTTGTCGTAAGCAGTTCTCTTCGATTGCCAGCTCGTCTGTTGGGGGAAACCTCTTGTGGTTCCGGTTGCATCTTATTTCCTTTGCCTATCCCCTTTGCCGAGACAATTAACCTTGATCCCTTTCCAGTCGGGCCCAGTCTCTCCCGAGGGGATCCTCTCACATGCAGATGTACGCGTTTCTAAATCGCTTTTGCCGACCGAGGGGTTGTGGAGGAGAATCACGAGGCCAGAAGTCGACGTAAGATTCTACTTCCGGTTAAGACTGTGATTAAATTCTATTAAATTGTATTCAGATGGAAAAATTCAGGCGGACCTTCCGGCCACAAGCGGAAAGGCGCATGTTGACGTGCGCTGACCGTCGCTGTGGGTCAGAATGTGTCTGAGACCCGCTAATACAATCATTAATCGCAAAAGATATTGGGAACACTTCATTGAGTGGAATGATGCACATGTTCGGATGGGTGTGTTATGGCAGCGGGGGAGTGGGGCTGGAATGGTTTTCTCAATGAATAAACGAAGTAATGATAAGATAGACTGAAATCCGAAGAAGGAGAAGAAAGAAAGAAAGAAAGAAAGAAAGAGAAAAATGAGAAAACCAGCCAGTGCTAGAATGAGAGAACGAGGTGGATAAAATATTATTATTATTATTATTATTATTATTATTATTACTACTACTACTACTACTACTATTACGTTTTTATTTAAAATGAAAACAATAACTTTCACGTGTTTGAGGATATTTTTAAACCGGGAGCTGAGAACTTTGGCGCACACAAATAAACAGCCGATAATAATAATAATAATAATAATAATAATAATAATAATAATAATAATAATAATGACTGTATGCTGAGAAGTAGGGATAATTGAACAAGAGAAAGAGAGAGAGACAGAGAGAAAGAGAGAGGGAGATGGCAAAAATACGGAACTCATAATGATGTGGCTAATGATGATGATGTTGACTGTAAAAAGAATTCCTGAGGACGCATAAGAGATAAAGACAGAGTAATAGTGTTATTGGGGGGAAGGAAGGAAGGAAAGTAAGGGTTGAGAAAAATGGAGTAAGTGCAGATTGAGAAAAAAGAAAGAAAGAAAAGACTCTAGAAGATAGGGAGCAACTGCGTATTAAGAAAGAAAGAAAGAAAGAAAGAAAGAAAGAAAAATGAAAGAAACAAAGAAAGAAAGAAAAAAGAAAACAATAAACAGTAAGAGTCGAGAAGAAATGGAGTAAGTTTAGAATGAGAAAGAAAGAACAAAGAAAGAAAAAAATAAAAAAGAAAGAAAGAAAGAAGAAAAAATACAAAGTAAGAGTCGAAAAAAATGAAGTGTAAATTGAGAAAGAATAAAACAAAGAAAGAAAGTGAGAAAGAAAAAAGAAAGAATGTAAGAAAATATAGAAGAAATCGAAGAATAGAAAGTAAGAAGGAAAAAGAAATGCAGTGCAGATTGAGAAAAGAAAGAAAAAAGAATAAGAGAGAGAAAAAAGAAAGAAAGGAAGTGACAAAGGATAGAAGAAAGAAGAGAATAGAAAGAGTCAAGAAGAATAGAGTAAATGTAGACTGAGAAAGAAAGAAAGAAAGAAAGAAAGAAAGAAAGAAAAGAATAGAAAGCAATAGTCGAAAAGAAATAGAGTGATTGCCCGTTGATAAAACGAAAGAAAGAGAGAGAGAAAAAAGAAAGAAAGAATGTGAGAAAGGATAAAAGAAGAAAGAAGAGAAAGAGTCGAGAAGAAATGAAGTAAATGCAGACCGAGTAAGAAAGAAAGAAAGAAAGAAAGAAAGAAAGAAAGAAAAAGAGAGAAAAAAGAAAGGGTGTAAGAAAAGATAGAAGGGAAAGAATAGAAAGTAAGTGTCGAGTGCAATGGAATAAATGCAGACCGAGTAAGAAAGAAAGAAAGAAAGAAAGAAAGAAAGAAAGAAAGAAAGAAAGAAAGAAAGAAAAAGAAAGAAAGAAAGGGTGTAAGAAAAGATAGAAGGGAAAGAATAGAAAGTAAGTGTTGAGTGCAATGGAATAAATGCAGACCGAGTAAGAAAGAAAGAAAGAAAGAAAAAAGAAACAAAGAAAGAAAAAAAGAAAGAAAGAAAGAAGAAAAGAAAGAAGGGAAAGAAAGAAAAAAAGAAAATGGAATAAAAAAAAAAGAAAAGAAAGAAAGAAAGAAAAGAAAGAAAGAAAAGGAAAGAAAGAAAAAAAAAGAAAGAAAAAGAGAGAAAAAAGAAAGGATGTTGAAAGATGCAAGGGAATAAATGCAGACCGAGTGCAATGGAATAAAAGAGAAAGAAAGAAAGAAAGAAAGAAAGAAAAAAAAAAAAAGAAAGAAAGAAAAGAAAGAAAAAAGAAAGGATGTAAGAAAAGATAGAAGGGAAAGAATAGAAAGTAAGTGTTGAGTGCAATGGAATAAATGCAGACCGAGTAAGAAAGAAAGAAAGAAAGAAAGAAAGAAAGAAAGAAAAAAGAAAGAAAGAAAAAAAAGAAAAAGAAAGAAAAAAAGAGAAAAAAGAAAGTGTAAGAAAAGATAGAAGAAGGAAAGAATAGAAAGTAAGTGTTGAGTGCAATGGAATAAATGCAGACCGAGTAAGAAAGAAAGAAAGAAAAGAAAGAAAAGAAAGAAAGAAAAGAAAAAAAAAAAAAAGAGAGAAAAAAGAAAGGATGTAAGAAAAGATAGAAGAAGGGAAAGAATAGAAAGTAAGTGTCGAGTGCAATGGAATAAATGCAGACCGACTAAGAAAGAAAGAAAGAAAGAAAGAAAGAAAGAAACAAAGAAAGAAAAAAAGAAAGAAAGAAAGAAAGAAAAGAAAAAGAGAGAAAAAAGAAAGGATGTAAGAAAAGATAGAAGAAGGGAAAGAATAGAAAGTAAGTGTCGAGTGCAATGGAATAAATGCAGACCGAGTAAGAAAGAAATGCATATTGAAAGAAATGCACATTTGGAAAAAGACCTTAAAGAATGTCTTCAAAGTGTGAAAGAAAAACGCGAGGCGAAGAAATGGTAGTAATATGATGGTCTCGGAATCAAACGAGAAAATAAACTTGTCTAAAAATGTGGGGGAAAAAAAAGAAGAATCATGAAGCATATGAAAGAAAAACTCTGTAGCGCCACTGAGCGAAAAACACTTCAGCGAAATAGGACAGAATAGATAAACTAAAAATAATAAAACTAAAGTTCCAGGAGAAAATGTTGAGTGAGAATCTAAAGACAAGAAATTGGACAGACGATAGGGGGAAAGGCATCAAAGTAACTATGCTAATAGCCAATAAAGAAAGAGGGAATAAAAAAAAAAACAGACAAGAAATGGTTTCGTCAGAAATAAGCATTTCTAGGGGATTTGGAGGGCGCGATTGAAATCATAATTATTCTGCAAGATAAGATGTAAAATAGGGAGAAAAAAAAACAAGATTACGCGAATGCGCATGACGAGATAAAAACTAATAGATGGAAGTGATGTTGGAGAGTGAAAGGTTAAGCATATAGGTGATTGACGAATTTGAAAGTGTTAATAATGGCTCACGAAGGGCAACGAATTTAGAAGGAAGGAAAGAAAGGATGCGATATGAATAGAAAGAGTACGTTGGTGAAGAGAGGAGAAAAGGAAGGAAAAGCAAAAGGTTAAATGAGAAAAAAGATAAGCTGAGAAAGAATAAGAGAAGAGGCGACACACGAAAAGAAGAAAAAAAAAGAAAGAAAATGCAACGCAGAAAGCGGGAAAGACAGAGAAAGAAAAAGCGTGAAGTAAAAAGGAATGGTGCGATAAATTGAAAGAAGAATGGTTTTATTGTAAAAGAAAATGAAAATATTTAAGCATGATTAAACGAAGCAAAATGATGAAGAAAAAAAAGAAAAAATTGAAAGTAAAGAAAAAAAAACAACTAGAAAGTAAGAAAAAAGGATAAATTTGAAAGAGATGAAAAATGACAAAAAATGTAACAAAAAAGGATAAATTGAAAAGAAAGAAAAACGCAAATAAAATCGAGAAAAAAAAACAAATTACAGAGAGAAAATCGCTAATAAAAAGTAACAAAAATGGATAAATTGATAAGAGAGAAAATAAATGCCAATAAAAAAGTGAGAAAAAAAAAGATATATTGAAAAAAAAAAAACGGAAATAAAAAGTAAGAGAAAAGATGGATAAATTGAAAAGAGAGAGAATGAAAAAACGCCAATAAAAAGCGAGAAGAAAGGATAAATTGAAAAGTCAGAAAAATCCCGGCAAAAAAAAAAGAGAGATGAGAAGATAAATTCAAAAGAAAAAAAGCAAATAAAAAATGAAAAATAGAAAAAAAAAGGAAAAACCGTAAATTTAAAAAGTGTGAAAAAGTATGAATGAAATTATCTCATAAAAATTAAAATAAAGGTTAAAGTTTTAAAAAAAAATAGTGTAAATTTATCAGAAACAACAATAATAAAGTGAGAAAAAAATGATGAAATTCAAAGAGAGAAAAAAACGCTAATAAAAAGTGAGAAAAATAGAATAAAATTAAAAGTGAGAAAAAAACGTTAATTTAAAAAATGAGAGAAAAAGAATAAATTGAATAGAAGACCACAATGTTCATAAAAATGAAAAAAAAAGGTTTAAATTATAAAGAGAGATAAGACTGCAATAAAAAGAAGAAAAGGTTGATTTGAAAAAAGAGAAAAGAACTTCAATAAAATAGAGAAAAAAAGAATAATTTGAGAAAAGCGAAAGAACGCCAATAAAAAAGTGAGAAAAAAAAATGTAAAATTGAAAAGAAAAAAACGTAGAAAAACGTCACTAAAAAGTGAGAAAAAAATGATAAATTGAAAAGAAAAAACGTAGAAAAACGTCACTAAAAAGTGAGAAAAAATGATAAATTGAAAAGAAAAAACTAAAAAGTGAGAAAAAGTGATAAATTGAAAAGAAAAAAACGTAGAAAAACGTCACTAAAAAGTGAGAAAAAATGATAAATTGAAAAGAAAAAACGTAGAAAAACGTCACTAAAAAGTGAGAAAAAGGGATAAATTATAAAGAAAAAAGATGTAAATAAAATTGAGAAAAAAAAATTGTGAAGAGAAAAACGTCAAATAAAAAGTAACAAAAAAAGAATAAATTGATAAGAGAAAAAATAAACGACAATAAAAAAGTGAGAAGAAAAGAATACATTGAAAAGAGAAAGCAAAAAGCAAATAAAAAGTGAGAGAAAAAAAATGCATAAATTGAAGAGAGAGAGAGAGAGAGAGAGAGAGAGAAACCCTAATAAAAAGTGAGAAAGAGGATAAATTGAAAAGAAAAATCCTAGCACAAAAAAACAGATGTA